TAGTTGTTGTGTGGCGATTCTTCGACATCATCTGTTTATGGAAAGAGGAAAAGATTGTGTATTGTATGCTAAATCATACCTTGCAAAGCTGTACATCTCGTGCGTCGATGTTTAGCTGAAGCAAGTTATGTTTGGCTTTTGCTTCATGTGTTTCCAGAAATACCTTTCTCTTTACTTGTCTCCAGTCAACAGAAAAGAAGACCCCTTCCACATCGACCTGTCATGAATTTCGAAGTTGATTTGCCTTCGATCAATGTTGCTCATTCCTCCATGCCGTTTCAGCTTTACCCCGAGCTATCAGGGTATTCAAATCTATTTGACAATATCATGAGCTATCAAATTTCATGTGTTGTTGGAAGTAAAAGCATGCTCCGGTGTAGATGGAGTTGGATCCGATTGGTGTCGTAGTAGCGATCAAAAGCATCACCAATAGTGTGAGTTTCAAATGAAAGCTAGGCAAAACACCTGTCTGATGGGGAAGAAGCAGATGTGTAACCCTCAGTCTGCAAGTCTGGCGAGACTAGATGGCTCTACAGCAGTGTTGTGCGCCAGTGGAGATCAAAGGTCAATAACTACGTCACAATTAAGCTTTGCTGCACGCTCATGCGCTACGTGCGGATAGTTGATCGCTCGCATGAGCCAGACCCATGCGGCCAAGCAGCAAGAATCAAGAAGGTACGGGGAAGCGGAATAGCCGTCGTCCCTAACGTTCGTGATACGTCTTTAGGGTGTGGAGGCTGGCATCGCCCTGCCACCCACCCACTGGTTGATTACAGAATGCCAAACATCCGACTCCTGCATTCCACGCTTGTTGCATTAGACAACATGGACATCACGATCTCGATGAGCATCGGGAAAAAGAAGACGATGAAACTTTGGCATGGTGTGATTGGGACAGCGGTTGCAAAGTCCGCGCGAGGGCTGGTACTTTGCCGATGCGAGTAGACGATGTAGATCGGCGAAACATGCGTGAATCGAGGTCTGGAACGGGACCGGCACCTGGCAGAATCAGATCCGCTGGCCGTTGCAGAGTGTCGGCTCCAGTAGCTTCGAGGTTCCTTCCCTGCGGGTGGAGAGGCAGGGATGGAAGTGGTAGCAGTCGTCGATGCGGTCATTGTGAACGATGCATTATCAACCTCCTACGTGTGTCTTATCGCAGCGTGCTGGAGGAGAGGAAAATGCGGTGGGCGGGAATAGTCCTTGCAGTGAATGGAAGGCTGGGGTGCTTCGACGGGACCAGTGCCGGAAAGCGTCTCGTGGCAGGCGAGCCAAAAGGGGCTGCGGATCGGCGGACCAGCGAAGGCGGTGGGGCCTCGGCTGCAGTGATTGGCCCTCAGAGCGGACTAGCGGCCGGGTTTGATTACGAACCCAAGAAATCACGTTATGCGCTTGGCACAGCTGCGTCACTCCCAGAAATTGCTCGCTCGTCCTGTCCTCTGACCTCATCGCCGAACGCCTCACTGTCATCGTCACCACGAGCACAATCCCCGTCAACGCCGGTTTGAGCCTCATTGAGATCAGGAACATCCATCACGCGCTTCCACAGCCCCGGATTGCCTAGAGTCGTGCAGAGTCAGCGCGCGTGTAGGTCTAGAGACTGCGACGGCTGCGAGCGTCACCACAGGGGCTTGACGTCACTATTGGTTTTGACAAGCAGACACCAGCTTTGCGACGACAGAGCCGGCGGTCAACAATATCGATATTCATCGGATTGAGACGGCTCGACCCCGCATCTGCCGCGCTCGATTCCTTTTGCTGAGGTACGTAGTCGTGTCGCCCTGCCCTGCCCTGCCGCTGCCGCCGCTGTTGTTATCTGCGCTGCCGACTTTGCCACGTTCCCAGCGTCTGCGACAGCCCTTTGCGCCCGTCGTCTGCCTGCACCCAGCCCGTCGCATCGTGCCTGCACCTGTAATTCCGTGCGCTGACAGCTCCGCCGAACAGCACAGGTGCTATTGTGCTCGAGTCGCCCGTGTGCGCCCAAAACCGTCGAGAGAAGCCGAATCGCGTGCGTGTGAGCGAGCGAGCGAAGAGAGGTCAAGGCCCGGTACCACAAGCGATCGACCAGGACACCACCCCTACGTCACCACCCCAAAGTATGGCAGCCGCAACCCAAACCGCTCGAACCTCCTCCCCGTCCTCCAAGATGTCCTCTCCCAAGGACAGCAAAACATCTCTTCCTACCGTCACCAAGACTGAAGGTGTGTATGCCCCCGTCGCTGCTGCCCCGTGACGCCCTCACCGCTGCTGCTTCCCACGCCTCCCCTTTCCCTGCCTGCGTCGCGCGCGCATGCATCGTCGTCATCCTCGCCGTCACATCATCACACATGCAAGCATTACTAACACCGTGATCAGCTGAGCCAGTAAAGGCCGAGTCGTCGCCCAAGGTACAGCGTAAGTAGTCCCGTCCCAACATCACCGTCGGCTGTCAACTGTCGCTTTGCATCCATCTCGTCGTCCACCAGCACACGATGCTAACCCACCGCCAGCTGCGACCACCGAAGCGGCCACCAACGCAGACGCTGCCAAACCCGCAACCACCAATGCCCAGCCGTTGGCGCCTCCACCAAAGCCCGCGCCCTCGACCACTGGCGATACTCCCGACTACTTCAACACCGTCCACAACCCCTTCTCGCTCGAGCCAAACGTCTTCGAGCAGTCCTTTGGCGGCGAGTCTGGCAACCTACAGACACCTGGAGGCCGACCTATTCTTCCGCCCGTTGCGAACATTACGTCACCATCACCCCTACCGGGCATCACACCGGGGTGGCAGGGCTTACGCGCAGGACCCTTGAGCCCTGCTATGCTGAGCGGGCCGACTGGACAGACAGATTATTTTAGCGAGTCATTCCGAGGCTTCCCAACCCCGAACGAATCCTCTCTCCGCACCGGCCTTACTCCTGGCGGCGGTGGTTCCATGTTCCCAGCTCCTAGCCCGAACACCCAAGCCATCTTCAATCTCCAAAGTGCTGGCGTGACACCTGGTACTGCCGACTTCCAGCAGTCTGCTCTGCGCGCCGCTGCTCAACACCAAGCTAACAACAACAAAGCCACCTCCAACGCGCCCACGTCGCAGCCCGAAGCCGCGACCGCAGGAATGGACCGCCCTAACAACAACTACCAGCAGGCGCAGCAGCCACAACAGCGCGCCCAGAACGAGCCATATCCAAACCATGACGTCAGCAGTGCCGCTAACGACCTGCTGTCCTTTGCCAGCCAAAACGGCGCTGCACGCAACAACCAGCCACCCTACTCGATGGCTCCCCAACAGCAATCGATGAATGCCGGGCACATGCCCGTCCAACCCGTCAACGCCAATCATGGCCGCCGTGACACCAAGGGTTCCATCAACAGCGTTCAATCTGCAGAGACCGGTGACTTCTCAGAGAGCGGCCAGAGTGAGCAAAACAAGACTGGTACACGGTCACGTGCGAAGAAGGGCGCCGCTAATGGCAAACAAGCTGCCGGAAACAAGCGCAAAGCTGAAGACGGCCCCAAGAACTCAAGAAAGAAGAGCAACGCCAACCAGCCCATGGGCGACGACATGGATGACGGCGACTCTGATGACGAGAACAACATCAAGGAGGAGGAGTACGACAGCAAGGGCCGCAAGATGACCGACGAGGAGAAGCGCAAGAACTTCCTCGAGCGCAATAGGTATGTCTTTTTTCCCCATCCCAACTTCAAGCTACTAACGTGTATCAGGGTCGCTGCCCTCAAGTGCCGACAGCGCAAGAAGCAGTGGTTGGCCAACCTCCAAGCTAAAGTCGAACTTTTTAGTACAGAGAACGACGCGCTCTCTGCTACCGTCACTCAGCTTCGCGAAGAGATAGTTAACCTCAAGACGCTTCTTCTAGCTCACAAGGACTGCCCAGTGTCGCAGGCCCAGGGCCTCCATGGCGCCGCTATGAACAACTTCCTCGGCAGCGATATTAGCCATCAAAACCCATATGGCATCGCCCAGATGCAACCCAACGGCGTACACATGATGCCGATGCAGCAAGGCCAGATGATGAACCGGTTCGTATACCAACCCCAAAGGAACTCCAGCCCCGACGATCAAGAGAACGGGCGGTATCCTTCGAAGTACTGAGACACTCACTCACGTTGTCAGGTAACTGGGAGTAAACAAGCTTCCTGACCATGTTACACGTGTACACCGCCATTGTCATGACTCTGCATCATGGCAATGACGCAAAGCGTGGGGCATGCGCAGCTCCGACGATCACGATGCTCTACCCGTACGACCTTGTAATCTACCCAACCTTCTCCTTCCTCTCCTACTCCTTGACGCATCGTCGTCTCTGTCACAACGCATGGACGGCGCTTGGCGTTACGTCATTATTGCATCCTCACACCCAGGGGATTGCAACTCGGGTTACCAAAACTAAATTTCGACTTTTCCCTCTCGGGCTGGGTGGCTGGATCGGCAGGGAATCATGGGGCTGGCTACGCACCTCATGCACGCGAACACGATTATTCCTCGTCGGCGATGACGACTTTCTTCATCCATTTCCTTCAGTAACCTGTCCGCCGTTTGTGTGTATATACGGTGTGTGCGAGGGCAACATTTCACTGGCGTTGCAACGGCGATTATATACCGGGTCGTTTTCTTCTTTCTTTGATATTACTGCAGCGCGCCAGTCTAGAGCTGCGCTCGGCGTTCGGGATGCTTGGCTTCGAGCCTACCTTTCCTTTCCGGTGGTGTATTCTGAACGCAAGAGCTTTTTCCCGACGTTTGTTTCTCGAGTCTACGATAACAACAGGGATTATGGCGTAGAGAAAGGAAATGGGAATACCTGTCGGCATGCGTGTTGGTCTACAAGTATGGCTCGACGAAGTGGGATCTGTATGTATACCACAAGCAATCAAGAGTTCAATTTCAAGTTTTCATTCGCATTCGCTGCTTCGTTGGGACCAAGCCTGGTTTCCCATACGGTGAGATCAACTACAGTCTGATGTTCGTCATGATTTCCTCTCTCTCAACGGTCTCGGTGTAAAAGTCACTCCCAATACGGGTCCCTGTGCCTCCTAACCATCTCCTCCAGCTCCTCTCTATGCCTCCTCAACATGTTCATCATCTCGTTTGCTTTGTCCTCCTGCGTCGAAACCGCTTCCTCCCGCCTAATCAGCGCTAATTGCCGCTCAAGAAGCACCTGCTCGCGACGCGACAAGGAAGCTTCGCGGCGATCGAGCTGCCTGCTGCGAACAGCTTCGCGCGCAGAACCTGACTGAATAGCGGGGAGTTCGGTAGGCTCATCTGCGGTAAGGTCTATCGGCGTGTCTGAGTTGTTTGGGCTCGGAGTCTGTCTGTATGGTGTTGGGGCTCGAACTCGGCGGGCGCTCGCGTGGTTAGCAGTTCGCGAGGCGGGTTGATCGAACCTGCTTGCGCGTCGTAGCTCGCTTCCTAGACGTCGCTCCTGCGGCTCGCTGCGCTGTTCCAACATCTCGGTCATGGGAACAGGAGACGCGCCAGCGCCAGCGCTAGCGGTGTACTCAGAAGGCTGAAACGGGTGCCTTCCGTTACCCAGAAGACGGTTCAGCGCGCGAGACCTGGCGGTACCAGTCCCACCGTTCACAGCGGTGGTCTCACTGACACGCTCCCTCTCAGCAGCAGCAGCAGCAGTAGCGGCCCGTCTCGTTCTGATACTCCTCGGCCTGCGCGTCTCTCTTGCTCGACTCCGCACATCAGCGACATGGCGTCTGAAGTTCTCGAAGTTCTGGAACTGGACGGCGTAGCCTGCGTTGTCGTCGGAATCAGAGTCGATGACGATGGGATTGTGCTGCTGGTTCTGCACTGGAGCAGCATAGGACTCTTCGCGCCAGGGTGGGATTGGGCTACCATGGGGCGGTGGTGTCGAGGGCGTGTATGTCGGGGATGTCGGGAACGTGGGAGTTGTGGGAGAGTATGCCGGTGAAGTGGGTGAAAAGTTCGGGGATAGCGGGTTTGCTGGGAACGTGGGAGATGTGGGTGTGTATCCCGGTGAGGTGGGTGAAAACGCCGGGGATTTCGGGTATGCTGGGAATGTAGGGGTTGTGGGTGTGTATACTGGCGACGTGGGCGCGTAGGCTGGTGACGTAGGTGTAAGGTCAGGCGATGAGGGTGCACTGAATGGTAGAGGTGAGATGGCGCCAGCGCCAATCAACTCGTTACCAGCGATATCCGCACCGATACCGTCGAGACCTGCGATCATGTTGATGTGTGTTGGTAGTAAAGAGTAAGGAGTAAAGAGTAAAGAGTAAAGAGTAAGGAGTAAAGAGTTGGAAGTAGAGTTAGAGTTATCAGAAAAGACTTTGGCTGTAACAAAGCTTGGCACTATTGAGAGCGAGAGACAATAGTAAGTGAGCGAGGAGAAAACGTCGTTGTTGGCAGAAAATTCATGTAGTGAAGGTGAGTTGTGTGGACGCTTTGACTGGCCGATGAAAAGTTTGTATACTATTGTCTATTGTACCTTGGTTGAAAATGGAGAAGAGCTCACAAATTCTCGTCATTGTTAGCAACATACAATAAGAAAGCAATAAAAGATTGCGCAATAAAGTCTTTTTGAAGTTTGCGCAAATCGGCACGAAGTGTGCGTTCTTCCTTCGCGTCACTGCAGTCAGTCAGAAATCATGTCGCGTTACCGCTGACATTGTATTACAATCTGGGAAGTGACTAACACAGACGCTATTGTACACATGTACGTAGAATATAAGACATAGCCTCTTCCGATTAAGAATCTACGCGGGCAGTAAGTGGAGCATTTCTCCGACGACGCTCCGTTCTCCCATTCGTCGTGTGATGTCACTGAATATAGTCCCATCACGATAAATACTGCCAAAGCTTCAATATCTGTTTTCACGCAGCGTAGTTGCGCTATGCAGTCTTCCGCGCAACTTGTGAAGCCGCCCTTCAGTTCAGACTCGTCGGCCAGTAGCCTGCATTTCTCCGTGGATCGAGAGATACAAAAGGCCCAGCATCTACCGGCACTTCATGCCTATTCGAAACGCTATTAGGGCTCGTGCGAAGTTGCGGCCGTCGAAGAGATACCGGGGGAGGCGTTGATGTGGGGGCGGTAGCTGGCTGTGTTGACCCAGGACTTAAGCTTTCACAGTAGTTTTCCAAGGCTCTAGACATTCGTCCAAAAGCTTCGGTATGGTCAATGCCATGAAATCTGCGGTGCGGCCGGTTTATCAACTCGTATGATCGTGTCCACACGTCGTCTCTGGATGCGACAGGCTCATCTCTTTCTGTACGTGTGACAGGCATACCGGGGTTTGAAGATTCTCGATTTTCGCGAACAATGGGCGGGTCGTCGTTTGACAGACTGATGTGCTGTAAGTACGCGTTGTATTGACGAGCGCTTATCGGGTCTTCGGATGGTGGCGATGGAGGTGGCTGGTGAGCATCCTCCCTAGTGTTTGTAGACGCGTTGGCGGTTTCTGGGCTCTCATCTGGCGTAGGAACCGTAGGTGAAGATGTCACCCTAGTATCTGCGCTACTCGCCATAGAGTTCTGGGCATCGCAAAGCCCGGGTCCAACTCTTCTTCCCAAGTCCATTCGTCTGAGGAAGTCAAGTTCCCTAGTGACTCTGTCTTGCCGCCTGATCTCACTCTCACGTTGCTCTAACTCTCTTTCCTGGCGTCTTAACAATGCTTCACGCTCGTTCAATGACGTCTGCAGAACTCTACTGTTCTCATGTGCAGACTGGGATTCTTGGTGAAGTCTCCGGGAGCGGCGCTCAATCGCTTGAAGACGCACGCGCGTGTCTGCCGTGGAAGTGTGCTGCTCGCTACTGATGTCCTGAATCAGATCCAGTCTCCGGAAGATCTCATCTAAATGGCTACTGATGACTCCGTTGTTCGACGCCCGTTCTTGCTCCAAGATGTTTCGCGTTCGATGAGCTCTCGCTCGTGATTCGACTAGCGCCGGCTGTTGTGGTAAGGTCAAACCTAGCAAACTCTCCGTGACGTTGACGTCTCGTGGCGCCGTCCAGGCAGGTGGTCGTTTGTACCATTCTCGTCGACATTGGGGACAACTGTTGTTACGTGGGCTTTCGCTGTCGAGGTAGTCTGCGAGACATTTGCGGCCAAAGCGATGGTAGCAGCCTGTTATGAGCACAGTGACGGCTTCGTGAGAAGGATCGTATAGATGTAGGCAGATGCAGCATGTTTCATCCTGGGATGCAGTTGGAAGGGCTGCTATATGCGACGTCCTCAGCTCTCGTAGGCTGGATACTGAATGGTCCGGGTTACTGTGTACAGTCAGTGACCTACTGGACTCTCAAAGAAGACAGGCACGAACTTTGAAAGGGATGATGTGAAGTTGAATGGCATATTTGTGATGTTAATCCCTGGCCAGTGTCTCAATAGGTGTGAGAAGAGGAGTGTTGTTTACAATCGACGTGCGCACAGAAGACGATTGTTTGACTGGGTGATCCTGCATGACCATAAGACTCCGCATCATGAGTACCGTGGATGAGAGTTCGAGTGCATTCCGTGTCTGTACAACTTCCAAAATTGGGTTTTGTGGGTATGCGGTGCGTAGAAAGCGTGTTATTCACGAACCATGGAATTGCTGTCCCTCGATTTGTCCTTATCTCAACAGAATGCGAAGGTATAATGTGAAGTCGAGGCTGCGCAAGATGACACAAGGGCAAAGGCACTTTTTTACGCGGCTCAAACCCCTGGTGGTAGTATCTAATCCACGCGCTGCGTGTAGCGACAACTCGGCTGCAAACATCACGAAAATGAGGCTGGTCGCCAATAATGGATGGGTGAGGGTGGATGCTTACGGTTTCCTGGCTCAATGCGGCCCTGAACCAAAACTGCTATACCAAAGTTAGGATTACTGCGGGCCCACAAAGTAAGGCTGCACTCTGACCCCTGCGCCGAGCTTGGGGTTAGAATTTGGTCTAGAATTGGCGGATGTGTGCGTTTCTGGGCACAACGGGTAACCGGATAACGATGCCTTTAATCTCCTCCTTTCCGAATGCCAACGCCGCGTTTGGGTCTCTAGTAGATTCCTTTGACACAAGACATTGGAGTACGTTCGGAAAATGAACCGTCGCGCGGCATGTGACTGTAGAGGTGAGGTTGGAGGCTCTCCCTCCACTCGGTGTCCTCTCTAGTTGTGGCTTTGTTCCGATGAAGACCCTTTTTCTCGTGATTTTGAAAGGAAATGGAACATGTTCAGCTTCGGATGTCTTAGAAGGAAGGATGAAGAAGAGTTGCTGGAGGTTCTTGGGTGCGTTGACCCCGCTAAAGCACGCACCCGTGCCACTGCCTAAGCTGCGCCACTTTCCACAACAAGTTGGGCACCCACAAATTGAGTAAGTGCGCTTCAGATGACAATATAAAGTGCAAACTCAGCATCAAGTTGAAGGTGCCTGCCAGCGAGAGACGGTCGTAAACGGCAGAGTTGTGTAAGGCGGAGGTGCATGACGCTGATTGGTGGAATCGCTCGCGCGTCTGTCATATTGTCCCACACCTGAGCAATTATACACCCCAACCATCCCCTCTCCTAAAGGATGCAGTGCTTTCTCCGAAATCCGGGGTTTTCAAAGCCGTCGCACTGCCGATGCGCTCTGCATGCACGCCACCATGTACTCCAGTATGTACCCCATATGAACGTTTTTTGAACACTCCCGAGGTCCACCAGTCAGGGTAGCTATCCCGCGCCTTGCAAGTAAAGAGCTTGGCTTGTATCGCGTGGTGCACTGCACGACTTAACGGAGAATGTATCTTCCACTCTGCAATCGATCGGTCTTTTCGACGCCCTAGAGTCCTTCTGATTAACGCATGAAACTCCTGGTCTTGGAATTCTCACCTGTTTACTGATCAGTATCCACAAGGTGGAGGACATCATCCTTCGGTACCCATCAGAATCCTGCGCCTTTGCTAAATAATCTCCGCAGCCTATTACTGCGTCATGGTCTTTCTCATACAGTCGCAGTCGTGCAACATGCCCAGGTGAGCTGCGGAGAAAGTATTGCTCATCAGGCCGATTCTAAGCGACGTCGTCAATGAACAGCGTGAATTTTTGAATCGTTGAGAGCCGGTTCCTTCGCAGTGTTCCCATGAACGACAGTTCGAGTTGTCTTATGCATACCAAGACACCGTTCCTGACGGTGTTTCCTAGTTTGCCAGGGCCCGCCGCAAGCGGGATTCCCATCGCTAGCCCAGTTCTCTAGGCTGTATCCGTGCGGTGTCTCTAGGGAGGAAGGGTCAAAGCCAGTATTTGACTGTGATCAGTTGCCCGTAGATTAACTAGCAGAGTCGGAAGGCTGGCATGCTACTGGTGATGGTTTGCTGATATCGGTGACCAAGACAGCTTCAGAGCGCACAACTTTCCGCTATTCTCCGTCATACTGCGGGGAACGTAACCCTCTGGAAACACCAAGTCGTGTGGTATTTCCGCTATCGATAGTACCTCAATAAACCAAGAGCGGATATACAGGACAGAACCGGCGAAATGCTAGTTGGCGGAAGTAATGATGGAAGAGGAAATGAGAGGAGGGTTGCAGCGCTAAGCATTGCGCTATGGCATGTCACTGTCGCCCTAATAATGCAAGTGCCAACGCACGGCGGAGTTTGCTGGGCGTTTCACTTGTGCAATCACCATACCAAAACCACGTGGTACTATCCGATGTGCGCTTCCAAAGCGCATCCTTCTACACCAAGCCTCCGTAACAAGTCTTGGCAATGGCGCGACTCGGGCGGAAAGACGTTCGGCAGGATCGATATAGAAGTCCGCGAATGAGCGTGGAAAGATTGAGGAGGAAAGTCCTAATGTGGTAAGACGACTTGAGTTGAGGGTGCGAGGTTAGCAGTGCAGAAGGCGTGGCAAAGCTGCCTCAGCGTGCTATGGATAGAGCGGAGAGAAGGGGTTCAACTCCCTATAAGTAACGGCGAACATCCCACCGGTTAAGGTTCTATCCTTCAGCCAGAAGCATTCCGATATCCAAGGCTCCAGTAGCATTCTTTCTATCATTTCGTCTATTCCAGCTTCCGCTTTCGATCAATTTTTTCTCAACCCGAACACCATCCTTTACCATGAAGTTTGCAGGCATCCTCGCTGCGGCCACGGCCCTCCTCCCTGTTGCCCTTGGATGCAATGGATACGCTGGAGGTGTCCCTAAAGCCGTTGGTACCAAGACCAATAGCAAAGTCATTGAGGTCGCTGCTGGTCAAACCTACGATGGCCAGTGGTACCGATTCGACCGTGGTAGCGGTGCTTGCTCTGGTCAGTCTGAGGGCGGTGCTGCCGACGCTGTCTTCCTGCTCAAAGAAGGCGCTACGCTGCGCAACGTGATCATCGGCAAGAACCAGGTAAGTGTCAGGTCAAGTCCTGAAGTAGATACCTACTAAGACATGTTTAGGCGGAAGGTGTGCATTGCCAAGGCCACTGCACTCTTGAGTTCGTTTGGTTCGAAGATGTTTGCGAGGATGCCATTTCCATCAAAGAAGACAAGGCTGGAAAGGAGTCCTGGATCATCGGTGGCGGCGCCTACCACGCATCCGACAAAGTCGTTCAGCACAACGGATGTGGAACTGTGAACATCGTCAACTTCTATGTCAACGATTACGGCAAGCTCTACCGCTCTTGCGGAAACGTAAGTGATTTCAATCATCAAGATCAGGTTCCTGAACATCCGCTTACACGATCCTAGTGCTCTAAGCAATGCAAGCGCAACGTCTACATCGAGGGCGTGACCGCGGTCAACGGTGGTGAGCTGGCTGGTATTAACAGCAACTACGGGGACACTGCTACCCTCAAGAACGTCTGCGCTGATGCGAAGACCAAGTGCCAGATGTACACTGGTTGTGCTGGTGGCTGCGAGCCCAAAAAGGCTGGCACCTGCTCTGGCTAAGCTGATCCGCCGTTTCGGGCAGCGTCCAGCGTCCAGCGTCCAGCTTTGTCCAAGGAACTGAAGCTGGATTGGTGAACAGATGGAAAGGCGCTGTGCGGCTCATATTTTCTTGTAAATAAGTTTTTTGGATACATCTGTACATATCATCACTTCTTTGTCAATGTTTTCATCGCAAACTGCTTCATCGAGATGCGCTTACCTTAATCTGCGAGGCGGCTGGATGCTGTGCTGTTACCCCGTTCCCGCGCGAATGTCGAAGTGGATGCTCGGCGCGGCATAGCCACTGTAACTATGCATCGAAGCCTGATGCCAGACAGCTCAAGTGTATCTTTGCGCGCTCATCTAATGACAGCATACATGGCCGATGAGATGTTGGTGTCGAGTCTGTTGGCGACACAAGGGGGCCACTGCGGGACGGTGGTGGGGCCGGCGCATAATCGGTTTAACCAAGATTAGACCGCGCTAAACCTCGGAAGGTTCGCGAACTCCTCTCGAAGACGCGTTCCAACCCTTTGGCCATCAGCCACCCAACGTTTTGCCCCTTCGTTGCATCTGCCGATGCTATCGCTAGATCTCCATCAGTTTGCGCCTGTCTGATGCAGCATTATTTCTCCGTCATCGACCGACTGTCCCGGAAACTTCCTGATTGGCGCGGGAAGCCAGCAGAAGCAACCACGGGCACCTAGAGACGCGACTTGCCGATACGTACTCGTCTCTACCGCCCGAGGAACATCCGACGGTTTGACGGCCTGTACAAGACATTGTTTTACACTGGCAATTTCAGTGTCTCGTGCAGACCAGATTGTGGTGCTCCGTACCCCACGTTGGGTCTCGGTTGTGCGAGAAGGATTTTTCGCGGTCCATCAAGGACTCAACTGAATCTAAAACAAGCAACGTCTAGGCGCAACAAAGTCTAAGACAAGCAACATCCAGGGATCAACATCAACCCCACCTTAGGGCCCGCTGTCATTCAGCATGGCCGTGAATGAGCCAACCTATCAGTTCGCTTTGACGGCGAAAGAGTGCGAAATCCTACGCGCCATTCGCGCTGTCGAGCATAGCAATGCGCCTAGCGAGCAGCCAAGATTGTGGGTATACCCATCACATTTCCTACCCCAGAACTAACATGTTCAGATATCAAAAGCTGGAACTTCAGCTTAGAGACGAGAATGGAGATTCGCTGGGAAGCTGTGACGTCAGCCCGGAGAATATGGTGTTGGACTTTGTTGCCGCTTCGGCCGCGTTTTTGAAGGAGTTGGCAAAGGAGCCTGATCAGCGCAAGAAAGACTTGGCCGAAGTTGACGAAGGTGTTCACATCGATGACCGCGACTCTGTTCTGGGCTCACAGACGCAGGATACTGCTGCTGACCTCCCTGAGCCGGATAATGGACTCCAGACTCCGTCATGGGAGACATTCAGGAAGTCCAGCATCCCGCCGTGTGTCAAAGACGTCAGCTTCACTGTAAGCGAAGAAGATCTGACAACAGAGTTGCGCCAACGGTTACAAGACGACTACCCCGGCGTCACTATAGTAATACCCAAAACCAAAGCCGAAGAGGACAGAGCTCGTGAGGCTCATGCGACAGAGAAGCCCAGAGGAGTCAAGCAAATGATCATCGAGGTTGAAGAGACTGAAATTAGCGAGAATCCTGAGCTGGAAGGCAGTCTCCGAAAGACATACCCGTGGGCGCTGATGGAATTGAAGTCCGGCCCAAATATATCCAGAAAGCGCGCAAGGCGGATGACGGATAGCGACGCCGCAACGCCATCTAGACCAGACCCGGTCAAGCACATCGAAGACTTTGCCGCATACGTCTTGGACCCGCCCTCCGATGATGAATTCGGTTATCACTATCCAGTAGGCGATTGGGATCGTCTGACTTATGCGCGGAAATTTGAAATCGCTCATGCGCGAGCGATTCAACATTACCATGGCAAGGCGGCTGACGGTGGAGGATGCAGTCAGTGTGCGGAATATGGCCATCAGTGCAGAGTCTACTTGCCGCAGCTTGGGAACCTAGCCCACATAGATTTCGGTCACACTTGCCAAAACTGCCGGCTCAGGCATCAACATTGCGACCTTCCCGCCGCCGTAAAACCCCCTCCGAGCACACCAACAGGTCCAGCGGCACTCAGGCTCGATACACGGAACATCCATCACCGAGATGAAACGTTATATACGCCACCATTGATGAACGCCACACCAGGATCGCTAGTATCGAGAATGACGGCGGCCAATGGAAGGCGGTTCAACGATGAAGAGAATAACGGTCATACTCCAATAAGCGGGGATCCTGGCCTGGATATGATGGAATTCGCTGAGCAGATCAATCTCTTTCAAGATTACAGTAACCCCAAGGTCAAATCCGTCATCTTTGCGATGTACAGCCTCTTGGATAAACACGGCAGGGTCGAGCCGTTTGGCAAACACCGCTTGACTCTCGACCAATACTACCAGAACCTCTTCACTCTTTACATAGTCACGTATCTGCGTAAGGAGTACCACTCGGCTTATACTGTTTTGCTTCGCTTCCAGAACACGAACTACCACGAGACCGGAGAGCTGCCTAGCATAGAAAACGTCGTCCGCGCTTTTGAGTACCTCCCAACGCATGCCCCACTTTGTCGCTGGATAGTGATACTATACAGTTTCCTCTGGGGAACGCAGCACTATGGCAGTTGGGACATGTTCATGAACACGCACCCAAGTGTCAAGTCAAGGGTCCGCGCAGTCGCAAAACTTCTCTTCGGGATTTGCTACGTTCGCGATCCATTTACTACGGGAGGCGATGGGGCAGTACGGCAGCAGTGGTGTGAGGTCCACAACCATTCTACGGGGACCCGTGAACAGGAAGAAGCTTGCGAAAACATGAAGAGAGAGGAAAGATACTCGACACGTATCGGTGAGAAGAGAAGGAGTGATGGATCACCAGTGCCGAGGCCTTACAAGGCTGCTAGAGGAGGACGGGGCAGAGGGAGAGGGCGTGGCCCAAGTAGGTGAGGCAAAATGTGCTTAGAGCATGGAAGGCGTTCTTGGACTTTGGTCTTTTGGCATAGCGTTGTGATAGTGAAGTACGACAGTCTGAATGATACTTTGTGTGTCTGCTCAACTTTTGTGTCTTGTGTCACTTACTTCCCTGTCTCAAGCATATCCGATCATGAGTATGGATGAACAACGCTGTTTTGAAGGTGCGTCAGCGTGAGCCACATTGCGCCTGCACAAATGAGTGATATTAGCTATTGAAGCTTTACTACTTCCCATAACACGGACGGAGGAATGTATACACCACTGTTAAACACCAGGATGATATACCCAAATCGCTCCCCAAATACATCAAACAAAGAAAAGAACGTTATCGCTGACCACCTCGCTTCATGCGCCCCATGACACGGCGCTCGGTGTACTGCTAAGCGGTATTCGAGAGGACGCTTATACCTTGCACTCGATGGTGAAGGATGTAACGTCGGTGGGAATAGCAGCTTTAGAGTTCCCGTCAAGGTCGATAAAAGTGTTCCATGCGTTGAGCGCATAGGTCTGTCCAGGGTAGTTGGGGTTCTTGACCTCGCACTTGACGTTGTTTCCGCCTGCACCGGGGGTGACAGCCTGGAGCGAAGTGGCGAGAACCTGGGGCCTGAAGGCATCACCGAAAAGCTGACCGAAGGTTACAGCGTTGTTGCCAACGAAGACACCTTGCATGCCCGAGATTCGCCTAACCCCGCACCCCCACGGACACGCTAACGGCGCCGGCCTTCAGTGTTCTCTGTTCAGTGCAACTCCAGTATTCTGTCTACTTCGTACTAAGTCCAGCTCTTGGCTCACTCGGTACTGGTTGCATCTGCTGTCTCTGAAACACCCGAAAGCTTTCAAGGTCTAGGTAGTTGGGGGCTCGTCTTCAATGGCGCTACCCATCGCGTGGTACTGCGACGGCCTTTCACAGAAACAACTTGCAGTTTCCGGCACCCATACCACGCTCATGCAATTGAATCCTCTCGAATAAGAAGCATCGCCGATTCGAAAACCATCTACCACTACGCGCACGTCTCTTCTAATTGCCGGCTCCAAAACAGGAAGGATCCTTGGTATCCACTGATTGAGCGAATTAGCATGCCGGGAGTTCCACTTGACGCTAGGTCCATCCGAAGTCCCGCTACTCCGCTCTTTCGATCCAGCGGCTTCAATGGTTGATGTTCCACGACTCTTTTCCCACCCGCGCTGTTCTTTCTCACACATCTATTCAAGATGTCGACGACTCTAGATTCTGGGTTTCTTTCGACAACTTATCGCCAATACAAGAAGGATACAGGTGCGTCTTTCTTAATGGCTTCAATTTAGTAGGTTAACGTTACTTACACGACAACAGAGTACATTGCCGGCTGGCTAGTCGAAGCCTCAAAAAAGATCGGGTTTAGTCTCAACAGTGGACCGGCGCCGACGCCGGTAGAGTCACAACGCCTAAAAGGCAAAGATAGGAAGAAGGCCAAGGAGGCTGCCAAAGAGGCTGCCAAAAACCAGCCCTCTGCATATCACATCCGGACCGTCGACTTCATACCTATTGCCGAGGCTATTGCCAAACAAGCCAAGAAAGTCAAAGTGCCATCTCCGCTCCTGACAGTGTTCGGCAGAGCTATAAAAGCTAGGAAAGAGGCACAAGCTTGGTACAAATCTGCTAAACTTGAAGATGAAGGGCATAATCACTTCATAAACATACTGTCCAGAGTCCAGGAGATTCTGCGCCCTTTGGTTCCTGTCGCCAGAGCCGTTAAACCGGAGAAGTCCAATGGTGTCGACAATCGGTTCAAAAAGCTGACGGTGGAGGAAGTAGCGGACACGTCGCCAAAGGAGAATGTTGAACAGCAAGCCACTTTGCCGCCGGTTGTCACAGCGGATATCGAGCAGAGCGAAGAAGAGGCCGAAGAGGAGTTTTTCTTCGCAATACATTCGTTTCTCGCAGGAATCCACGAGATTCAGGACGTGGTACAAGATTCCTGGTTCAAGACACAGGACTTCAACAGGGACCTTATGGCGTCGGCTCTGCTCACAAACACTGCGATAGATCTTGTCAGGCGTGCTGAGAGCGAATTCGACCTTAATCTCAAGCGCCCATCCAGATACCCAGTATCAAAGTTTCCTGTGTGGTCCCTTCCTGCGCTCTTATATCATCACTACCACCCATTGCCGGATGATGTCAAGATCCACAAGGTAGTGGTCCCCTCAGATGTTAGTATTCAGTTCAATGAGGACGAGTACGATAAGATTCACGCCAACTGGTGCTTTTGGCCTGCCTACACAGGTCTGCGATTCTGTGTGAACCGCATCAAGAAGTTCCCCTATCTTGACGCCAACGAGGACGAGCTTCAGGCGATTGGTGCGGATTCAGTGCCACAGATTAAGCGGACGTTCGAGCTTGCCAAAGCGTTCCGGGTGTACACCTCAGCACACCAACGATTTTGGGCTCAAGATGAGGTAAGAGATCTTGGTGTATGAAATGCAAGAGAAACACGCTGACTTTGTACACCACCATCTAGGTAACCCGCGGCATGAAGATCATGTTCACAGATAAAGCCATCCCCATTTGGGTCACATTTGGCATCCAGACGCTTCTCGACATCCAGGACATCAAGGATAATCGTATGGGTGAAGGCAAAGGCTTCAACAATTCGTTCACTCATGCTCGGGTAACACTAAACGACGAGCTGAATGAATGGCCGGCGTTTGATGGATGGGAAGCCCCGTTCCCGGAGCTATTTGGTCCTCATACTCCATCTGGAGATGAACGCTCTCGGTGCAGGGACACCATGGACATCTATCACCAGCTTATGGAACATTCTGACATCCCTGCACTCAAATATAACCCAATACGTTGCGGTTTGATCAAGTATGATGTCTACTTCCAACTACATATTTGCGGCTGGCACCTCGAGGGGCAGAGTGGCCTTGCGTGCGTCTTGGGCCACCTCTATACTGCGGTATGTAAAGCTCAGTCCTGCCTAATTGTTCTAGAGTTTCCAAAACTCCACACAGTGGCCTTGAGTAATCGTCAATCGGTACTAATATCAACCACTAGGGTAAACTACTTTATCCAAACGATCCTACTTGGCCTGACATGGAATACCTCCTCTACTCTCAGGATCCAAATCACATCTTCTACGGCGGCATACCCAAGACCCTTGACGAGTCATACCGTAAGATTAATCTTGCCTTTGGCAGCAAGATGCCCCGCATAGACAGCAGTGGGAAATACCGTTTCCACAAATCAAGTCGAATGTTTCAAGAAACGAGCTTATTGAGTCCGATTCTGCAGAGTAGGATGACAGGATGGAGCGACCACACCAACGAGTCCGTGGACGAGCTTGCCAGTAACCTCAATGTCTTGCTGTGCGACAAAACCGAACAAGGGCAACTAGCACGCCAGTTGGGCGCATCACCGGATTGGGTTGAAAGTGAGATTGACACTCGTCGGGTGGTACGACTGTTCGAGGATGGTCCGGCAGATGGCTCTCCCGTGCTGCTTCGCGATCTGTCTCTATTTATAGAGGGCGAGATGCAGAACGTGTACTTCGACTGGATTTCGATGTACCGAATCTGTGGAGACATATGGAAAGAGATATTATCGGAACTAGCCGGAGACCCTGTCCTGGCGAAGCTCATGCCAAAGCCCACACCCGGGCTAGGCTTATACATCCTCAAGATAGCTTCCGAAGATGCAGCCAAGCAGAAAAAGATCGATCTCGACGATCCAGATCTCGCACCGCAGCTTCGAAAGGTATGGGCTTGCATCCAGAGAGTCATCCACAAGCGTTCGTCACACGAGTTCACCCCGCAATACAACATGTGTAAAGCCTGGCTTGGCGACAAATGTCTGGCTCAGCAAATGGCTCGCACATACCACACGGTGGCTTGGCAGCTGGTCGGTTATAACGTTCCCCAGCTCTACAAATTCTACGAGAACTGGGATTTCGACGACAAGATAGATAGCGGCGTGCTCGCCCAAATCCCTGCTCACAATCGCATGAACGAGATATACCGCGAACGCAACCGAGATCTACTGTTAGGAGGTCTGCGCGATGAGTGCATAAGGGACCAGTATCACAGCAATGACTACTGCGGACGCTGTCGCCGCCGTAATTTCTTCCTTGACCATTACGGCTCAGCGGCGTCGCTCAGAGGTACGGAGCTAGTGCAAAAACACCTCGGGCGGAAGTACCATGGACAAGACGACAAGATTTTGGAAGAGGATGATGTACGGAAAGCCGTGCTCAAGAAAATGTTTGAAGAAAAAGGTATCACGTTCCTCGACGGCGACGATGAAGGCTCTGAGGGTACTTCTGACACTGTGGAGGGTGAGGTGTTAGGGGAACATGAAAATGCGAAGATCACGCCTACAGTTGACGGAAAGTTCCAGGTCGAGATGTCAGTCAGGTCTATTTTTCATCGGCCAGGTGTTTGGCGGAGTCTTGGTAGTCCCCTGAGCAGCGAGGACGGCAGCGAGGACGGCACTGACGACGGCATCCACGATTCTTAGAGCGCAGTGGTATTGCAATTAGATAGTCTCACGATCCGCACCTGTATCAGCGTATCCACAATGATGCGAGACTAGTATCCGTGAAAGTCGTCATCCGTGCCCATCCAAATCATTGACTACGTGCGGCAAAGTCGACTAGGCAGAAGCTATATTAAGAGCTGCGCTTCAACTTTGCGGGTGGTCGATCTATTTGTTAAGTTGTATGTAGTAGATACAAGATTTACCGCACCCGTTAGAAGTCCATTTTCTTGTCTCTCAGCCTCGTCTCGCCAGGCGTGGCCTCGCTTGACCCCGCATTCTCGCCAACATGCTGACGAGCCAGCCTTCTCTGTTCTTACATCTTCAACACCCATCCTACTTCTCTCACACTCTGAGGCACGAGCAATGTTTTCGCGTTCCATCATACTGACCCTGCGAGATGATCGACGATAACTCTGAAGAGGAGGGCCGACGCTACTGCCAGCTTCGCTCAGGAGACGCAAGCGCAGACCCACTGCCCCGCTTCTACTACGAGCCTCTCGAACCCCGCTGCATCCGCATCCTCGAACTCCAGCCTGGTCGACGATCAGACCCGTTCCTAGGCAAATTCATCATTGCGAACGTGGACAGTGACTTCGCGTACAATGCGCTGTCGTACATGTGGGGTGATGCGACGCAGACCGATCGGGTCGTTGTGGATGGCGCCGCTATACCGGTAGCCTGGAATCTGACCAGAGCATTGGAATATCTGCGCGACTTCGCGGGATCAGAGCCACTAAGGATATGGATCGATGCGATATGTATCGATCAGAATAATTTTGAGGAACGAGCCGAACAGGTTGCCATGATGCGGACTATCTATCACAACGCTTCCTGTGTGCGGATCTGGATCAATGAACCGTCTTTCGACGACCAGAATGCGGCCGTAGCAGCTCTGAATGCATTCAAAATCAACCCACAGACGGTGAATCGTGGTCTGGGCGATGATGCCCTTTTCTGGGCCTCGCTCGTCTCAATGCTTCAGAATAGCTACTGGAATCGTATATGGATGTAAGTGTGTGCATGATTGCATGTAAGAGCGAAGATCAGCTGATGTCGTCATCTCTATATTCGCAGACAACAAGAGGTCCTTAACGCACGAAAATTGATGCTACACTGCATGAATGCTGCTTTTGACGGTATAGCTGTTGCAAGCTTTCGGCAAGCCATAGGCGACGTGTTCGCTCAGTTTGACACTCATTACAGCTCCTGGGACGATAAGAGTTTGCATGATTTGAAAGGAACTATATCAAGTCCAATCAGTAGGGAGATGTTCGCCGTCCACGGCGATCGAAGAGAAAGACGGTCACTTTTTGTTCTCCTTTCCAGGAGTGCTCGTATGGAAGTATCCAAAGGTCAAGATCGCCTGTACGCCCTTATGCACTTAGCTAAAGACTACAAAGAAGGGCGGATTACAGTCGACTACAACAAGACGGTAGAACAGGTAATGGCAGATGCAGCCGCATATCATATTAGCCAGCATCAGAGCCTCGATTTCTTGATTGTAAGCTATCGGAATGACGAGATTTCCAACCCAACGTGGATCCCAGAGATGTGGATGGGAAATCACCCCGCTGGAAGTACAATCATTCGACAGAAAACTGATGTGTTGATGCACACTAAATGTTCTTTGAACTCTGTCGATATGAGGAGTATGAGACTACGCATCCGAGGTGTGAAAGTGTATTGGGTGCGTCAATGCCTCGTTCCCAATGCAAGAAAGACGGTGGCTGGCTTCTGGAGATCCCAAATCGGTGAGTACATACAGCCATATCTAGGAGACACCAGCATAGGGTTACCCCTTGAATTCTTTCATGCCATTCGTGGCGGGATGAAAGATCAAACTCACGAGCACCAGTCTATACAGACTGGATTGTCGCATCTATGGAAAATTGGAAACGCTCCAGAACACGCGAGTCGGGACCTGGGCTATGGGGGATCGAAAGTCCTGGATCTACTAGACCCCCTCAAGAACGATAACCAGCCCGCTTGGTCCGCGCTCCGAGATGTCTTAAAGTGTCTGCATAGCAGACTTTGCATCAAAACGAACACAAAACATCTCGGTCTGATACCGGGATGCAATGCAAGAGAAGAAGATGAGATTTGGCTGGTACTTGGATGCAGCCTACCCGTTGTTGTTCGGTCTCAGCCCAACGGAAGATATCAGCACATCTGCACGGCATGGATACCTGCTCTCCAGCAACACGAAGACATCGCACAGTTCGTAAGTGAAATCCAGCCCGGTGAAAAAGTCGGCGAATGGACGGTTGAGGATATCGAATTGGAATGATAACAACACGCCCCACGATGACGCAAGAGTAAGATTCGCTACGAATCCAGTTGCGATCATATTCCGGTCGCACTATATACAACGAACTTAACAACGTTCTTCCGCCGAGGTTGAACCCATACCCCAAGTCTCCGCCCTAACATCTCTCTGACCATCTACGCCGGAGGCCCAACAGGCGTAGGCATAGGCATAGGTGCTACAAACGATCAGCAACAGATCCAGCACTCTCCAAAAACACAATCTACTCACAAAAGCCCGGCACACTCCTCGTAGGCCTCGGCATTGGTCCTCTACTAGGCCGACCAGGGAACCCCCCTGTCGGCATGGGAGGAACGCCACCTGGGAAGCTGGGGAAGCCACCAGTAGGGAACGGAGGCGCACCGCCTGAGAAGCTGGGGAAGCCAGGGAAGCCGCCGGTTGGGAAGGGAGGAGCGCCAGTAGGGAACGCGGGGAAACCTCCTGGAGGTGTTGGCATGGGACCGGTGGGGCGGGGGCCAGTGGGGAAGGGTGGGATGCCGACGGGCATTGAGGGAGTGGCTTGGCGTTCGACGATGGGGGCGGCCAGGGCGCTGGGGGGTGTTAGTTGGGGTGTTGAGGAAGTGGCTTGGTAAGGGAGATGTACCCAGCGGCCATGAGGATGACGGCGGTGAACTTCATAATGTGCGGATGTATAGTTCAGTGAATGAGTAAAGTGGAAACTGTTCGTTGATGTCGATTTAAACTTCTGACACGAGGTTCTCTTATACTCCTGCTCACCCCCAGTCTCCACATCTTCCAGAGCACACGCGTACCTGGCTACCATGCGTCAGCGTAGATTACCTTCCTTCCCTGTTCCTCCGCCCTCAAGCCCACGTTGATGAACCCTAATATCCCGTATAATGGTGCAGCAACGCCATGTTTGCCCGGCTATCAAAGCCCAGAGCTCGGAGAATTCTTTCACTCGCGGAGGTTTGGGGCCGATCGAGTGTGTTGAGAGGATATGACGTTGCGTACACGTTGTACAGAGAACGACGCGCCAGGGTGTTTATGGAGAGTAGCACAGCGGCCAATTTATCGGTTGCTTGTGGCCGGGTCCGTTGTCTAATTAAGCTTTGGATTCAGGGTAGGGACGGGTTGTACAACCGCTGTGAGAGTATGGTTTGAAACAGCTCATCTGTACGATCCAATGGTAATGGTGATCTTGAGCGTGTGGCCTGAGGCCACTGATGTCTCGTTGGATCGAACTTGCAAGAGGCCTGCAGGTAGAGCTGTATGGAAGTAATGGTGCGTAACTGCCGATAGATACTGCATGCAACCAGACGGGGATGAAATCGAGATTCTTTACTTTGGGTACTAAGATCGAGGACGCGTCTCTCCTAGATAGAGGCGGCCGGGCTGTTTAGCCGATCTCGGCATAGTTTCTTGGCTGTGAATAAAAGAGTAATGTCGAGTCGTTCCTATGAGTTTTCAACGATGGCGTACACTGCGGCTCGGGTCTCCGCCACGACGGTCAGTCGTGAGCTCATGCAGAACTGAGCAGGAGTAGTTTTTGTGGGTCTCCAGGCGTAAACTCAGAGGACATCGGCAAGTCGGCGTGTTCAGACACCTGGCATATCAATTGACGACAACGTCATTTTCTGGGCAGCAAAGTAAAATCTGGCGAGACTTGGAAGGATTAATCGAGATCGAACATGAGGTAAATTGATATGAGGGGCAGCGCTGAACTCCCCGCATTCTCGCATCTCATCGGAGTTCGACTCCGGTAGGCAGTCCCGACCGTTCGTCGCAGAAAACTTGATTGCTAAATGAAGCACAAGTACATGGATGTCGTCGAGAGTAGATGAAATGCGGTCGCAATGAGCCAGTGAACCAGACAGATGAAGCCGTCAAGGTCCTGCGATGCCCAACAATTGTGGTTGGTTGGAATGGGAAAAGCCGCGAACTTTGCCGGGCCGCACCTGCATAATTCTCCTGTTGTGCCGCTAATCCTTGACAAGCAACATAGCCCTGATTGCAGATGTTTGATGCAAATGCTCCTGACGACAGTCGACGGGCGATATATGAAGAAGGCGCGGCTGCTGTAGGGGGTCGCATAGGATAGAGGGTTGCGTAACGTCTCGCGACAACGGTAACGAGACTTTTGTATTGAGCGTTAGCACCAGGTTTGGGAGAAATCCGCGTCATCGCACCTTTTGACCCAAATGTGAAGAGTATGTCCATCAGCTCTTGATGGAGCTTTGCTGAATTAAAATGATTATTGTTCCACTCATGCAACCATTCTTCCGAAGTGTGTTCAGGCCGCTCAGTCATCGTCTTCGATGACTAGTCCAATCTCTTCCGCATTCTTGACCTCTCCGCCTTCGTTGTTGGCATCTGCGTCCTCGTCCGTGCCAGTCTTTGGCACATTCGCATTCGGCGCCAATTTCTTCTTCGTCTTGCCATCGTCTGCAACTGGTGTCCCATCCCTCTCGCTGCCTGTTCCGCCCTTTCCGCCCTTCTTGGCTTTCTCTTTCCGCTGTCGCGCCTTCTCCCTCTTCAGTCGATTCTTCTCTGTCTTCTCATTGTCTTTCTTTTCCAGCTCCTCTTTTCGCTTGGCGAACTCCTTTTCGTCTTCCTCCTTCTTCACCTCCTCGTCCATCATCCTCAGCCTCTCATACTCGCGCCTCCGACTCGCCTTGTAGACGTGGAACTCGCCACTTCCCGCACCTGCACTGGAACCTTGTACATTGGCGACGATTTCTGGGGGTAGGGAGGATTTGGCTAGCGCGCTGGAGCCTGGAATGTAGATATCGCGATCAGGCTTCGCAAAGAGAGCCTCGACTTCTGAGGCTTGTACTGAGCGGGGAGTAAGCGCGCGCTTCTTCGTTGGGCGCTGCGAGCGCGGGTCGGCGGAGGTTGGTATTGATTCGGGGATGGGTTCAGACATTGTGGTGAGTCCACAGAGGTAGATGCGAAGCGCTGGCCAGTAGACAAGCTGGCAGGGGGGCTCTAATTTGTTTATGACGTCGTATGTGGTTGCCCGGAGTGATGCGACTCCAAAAAGATAACGTGGGCAGTAGCTGCGTGTAGGTGTGCTGTCGCGCAATGCAGAAAAAGTGGTGAAGATGACGGCCAAGAAACAGTCGCGAGGGATGACGCGCTAGCATTTGCGGCGAACACCTCGGGGGCGCTACGGGCGGCCGAACAAGCCACTCGCGCCAGCGAAGTCGCCGCTATCGTTGGGCTTGCAGCTGCACATGAAACGCCCTTGATCGCACTTTCCCTGCACAGCTGTACATATTCCCCTCTTGCCTCGAAGACACCTTGCTGTACAGCATATTATCAACTACACGTATATCATCTTCCAAACCCACACCATACACACATCCCACTCTCTTCACCATGGGGAAACCCCGCGTAGGTCCACTTTATCAATACCACCAAGGCCAATGGCTAACTCCCACGCAGATGATCATATTGATCCGCCATGCCCAGTCAGAGGGAAACAAGAATCGCGACATCCACCAGTTCATTCCCGACCATAGAGTGAAACTGACGCAGCATGGCTGGACTCAGGTGCGCCCCCAGTCCCATTCGACTTGAGACGAGACATGACTAACTCATATGCTTGTAGGCAGAAGAGGCAGGACGACAGCTACGGTCTCTGCTCAAGCCGGACGACACCCTCCAGTTCTTCACTTCACCCTACCGTCGCACGCGCGAGACGACCGAAGGCATACTCCGTACCCTGACCTCGGACGACCCAACACCATCGCCCTTTCCCCGCAATAAGATAACCGTCTTCGAAGAGCCCCGGATACGCGAACAGGACTTCGGAAACTTCCAGCCATGTTCAGCTGAAATGGAGCGCATGTGGCAAGAGAGGGCCGACTATGGACACTTCTTCTACCGCATACCTGATGGCGAGAGTGCGGCTGACGCGTACGACCGAGTCAGTGGCTTCAACGAGAGCCTGTGGAGATCCTTCCAAGACGACAACTTTCCCAGTGTGTGCGTTTTGGTCACACACGGGCTGATGTCGCGTGTCTTCCTTATGAAATGGTGAGGCGCACAACAATTGGGTCAATAGTCCAGAACTAACATGCTCTAGGTACCACTGGTCGGTCGAGTACTTCGAAGATCTCCGTAACGTCAACCACTGCGAATTCATAATTATGAAGCGAAGCGAGAACAACGGCCGCTATATCCTCCAAAACGAGTTACGAACATGGTCGGAACTCAAGCGCCGTGCTGCGAAGGAGAAGGAAGAGACAAAAAGCGCCACCTCATCGACGCCGAGCAGGGCCACACCTTTGACTGGCCTGGGCCAAGGAGGCATCACCGCATCCCCCACCATACCCACGCGCCGATGGGGAGGATGCGTCAACGGATGTGATCATGACAAGATCAACTACCCCCGTCGACCGATGCGCAAGAACACTATGGAGTACATGGGACAATCGCAACAGCTGCCCCCGCCGGCAGTCTCACACATGGAGCCTGTAGAAAGCGAACAGGAGGACCACCCAGTTGCAGCGCAGCAGACCGAACACGCTCCCATTATCAACGAGCCGTCGCCGGCAAAGCTTTCGCGAAAGCAGAGTACTAAGGGTGCCACCATGCCGGAAATGCCTCCAACGCCAGCATCTCCAAACGATGCGTCCAACGACGCTACAAGCAGTGACGAAGGGGAAGCAACATCGTCCATGTCGCGTTCAGGTAGCCATGCGCAACCGAGAACCGCAGCTGTCCTCCGCCACTTACAACCCCACAAGACACCAGGCGAGGGTTTCTCTGATGATTCCGACTACTTCCCAGGCATGCAACAAATACAACACCGCAAGTTCCTCCGAGCAAGCTCTACGCAGCGCAGACAGTCCAAAGAACGCAAACTGCAGCGCAAACAGACAGAGCAGAGCTGGAAAGAGGAATCTGGCATGGGTAACGGCGTCAGGACCGATAGACTGGGCGACGGCGATGCCACCAGCGATGACGCTGCGTTTGCGAAGGAGAAGGAAGGAGAACCAATCCTCACGGAAGCGTTGAAAGGCAACATGATTGTTGAGAACAGTGAGGAGGATAGGGAAGCCGGGGAGGAAGAGAAGAAGATTGGTGAGACGGAGATTGACAAGATGCAAGACGCCGAGAGAAAGGGCTTTGGTGAGGTATATTGAGCATCTTGAACGAATGGTACGTCGAGGACGAATTGGACGACGATACGGCTGTATTGACGCAGATACTAAACGTCTCAAACGATTTACGGTACAAGATCGAATCGAGCCGGTCTCGTAGATCTTTCACATTAATCGAATGTCTACGGTTTGGTTGGGTCGCTTTCCTTGATTCTGGTACGCTTTACTTGGTTCCATCCCCACCATGAGTGCAATACTATGTGCCAGATGCCCCAATGTTGCTGCCGTGGGTTTCTTCTGAATTAAAAGTATTAGCTTCCACACCAATTTCTCACTCGCGCAAACGCAAACGCACTTTCCTCACTTGTTGTGGACCCACTTTCCGCGTCAGGTGGTTTGCCAAGACCACTCTTGCTATTCTCACTCTCTTCGGTTCTCTGATCTCTTCGGTCTACTTCGCAGCCACTTGGAGGAACCCATTGCCTTGGGGACTATTACACGACAAGCCACTTATACCATGCAAAAAACCGAGATTGACTCTGGCGCAGTTGTTGCGCCCACGCCCGCATCGCCTTGTCAAGGTCGAGCTATCGGCTTTCTGGACTTATCTGGGGGTGAGTTAGGATTTCGGAACCAGATTTCACATTTGCTAATCAGATCTAAAGAAATCCGGAACTACATATACGAGTACGCAGCTGAGCAGAGCATTCTGGTGAAGCTCTCGCACGACCCTAGCCTCACTAAGAATAACATCGACTGGATTGCTCAGGATCGTACGCTCCTAGGTCTCACACGAACCTGTAGACAGGTCCGCGATGAATTCTTGCCTATCTACCTCACAACTACCACTATCGCAATACCATATTACCAGGTCGATCAGTACATCTCTACGTTTGTCGATCCACAACATGGCACCTACGACGACACGGTCGGTAGTGTTATCTTGCTGAGGCCAAGGGTTTTAGTAACACGCCATTCCGTCAACATACTCCCATTGGTCAAAATCATCGCTCGGGCGCCACGCTTGATTGCACGCTTTCTCAACGAGGACACTAATGACTTCCGCCAGAACAGCTTGTTCAACGCGCTGCTCAACACCCATCGCAACCCCCGCTGGAATGTCTACGCAAAAAACTGCATTTCTCAGATCACCATTAGCAGTTGTCCGAATGAAGGTCTGAAGACCACAATCGTGGTCAAGAAAGAGTGGGCGGAAAGCTGGATGGGTCTCAACTTCTATGAGAAGAGTAAGCATCTCATCGCAGCAATGGCATGGAGTAAACGTGTTGGTCTCAACAGGAATAGTGGCAAGTACAGTTCGTTGCTCTATCACTTTGGCCATATAGTTCCGGAAGATTCTGCGACGTCAGCGGAGCTCGACAGTGAATGAGGGCATGTCGTATGTGTTTACATCCAAGGGGGGGATAGATCTGCATAAGACCAAGATATGCTTCCACGGGAACAGGGCTTTTCATCGAGAGGTTCGTGTAGCTCTCCAATGCTGAAAGGTGAAATGGACGCCACGCGCAGGCCTTGTATTTAGTGTACCTAAAGTAGGTGTAGTGAAAGTAATGCTCATTACCACGATCTCAACTGATGCATGTGAAGAGCTATTCAATTATCGCTAACCTTCCGCTCAACTCGGATGTCTTGTTAATTACAAACCACCCTGAAAACTTCTACCCACCGAGGCAAGCAAACTGGTTACCGTATAACATGTCTCATCCACAAAAGTCCGATACTCTCGCTTCAATTCAGGAACTCAACGCAGCTCTCCAAAATCTCACTGTAGAAAGCCCCAGGCTCGGGTTCCTATCCCTATCCGGTGGTAAGTACACACTAACCGTCATCATCAAGTGCATCACTAACAAGCATAGAACTTCGGAACAAAATATATTCATACCTCGCCAATGAACGTATAAACCACGACCCTCCCTTCAACCCAGAGATCACAATATTCTCCTCGACGGCGAACTACTTGCACACGCCCGCACACCAGATCGTGCTGTATTACGAGAACAAAGATGACGTTCTATACGAACCTCCAGAATGGAACACTATACAACGCTACGATATGGGCCTAACGCAGACCTGCCATCGAATACGAGAAGAATACGAAGCCACTTATCGCCAAAACCACTCAATGTCCATCTCGCTCGACGCCCTTGTAACCAGCACCGCCTCCCTTGATCCCGACCAGCCTCCCATCCTTCCTTTAGGCAGCGTACGCATCACAGTCCGAGAGTCCTCGTGGTCAACACCCAACATCGACATTCTCCCTTTTCTGAAGGCATATAAGAACTTCCCATCCTTGAAGCTGCACTTCGAACTCCCCGAACACGCGCGGACTGCTTTTGGCGATGTGTTCAGCGTGAGGGAGAATAATAAGTGGTGGGTCGGTATTGAAGAGCATGTCGCGTTTATACATGTGTGGCCTGAGGTATATGGCGAGAGAGCTAAAGTTGGGATTACGGTTACCAAGGAGTTTGAGATGAAGTGGAGGAGTGGAAGGAGGGGAGTTAAGAAAGGTGTATTGCTGGCTGCGTGGCTGCGTGAGATGGGGTTGGAGGCTTTGGGTAGGTGGCCAGGACTCAGGATATATGTAGTTTGATCTCCTGCTTCATCAAGATGGATATGCACCCTTCAGGCGATTGATGTGTCCAGGAGAGGCTGCATGAGTGGCTGCCAACGGTCGGACTGGGGGCCCTAGTAGGATGGCATGGATTGAGGGTTTACTTGGCGAAGCCGTGGTTGGAGGAGTAGTTTGAAGAATAGAAATAAGGAGGATCTTGAGCTGCGCGTTCGACGACTGGCTTGCAGACCGACCACGCAATCAATCAGAGCAGATGCACACTTCGGCGCAGCGCTGCGGTGTGTCGGTGTCCGTTGAGTACTTGGCATGTTTGCTCATCTTCGAGAAGCATTGTATCGCTCCCATTGCAGGCATTCTGGTCGGCGAGGTAGCTGCGACATGCAGATCTGACACGGAGAATAATCTGAGATAAGCGGGCCGCGTATGCAAGAAATATGCAGCGATGTGAAGCTGTTCAACAAACGCATACAATCGTTCGTGAGAAGAAGTGACAAAAACTCGAAGTCAGTCGCCGCCGTGATGGACCATCGATGAAGTTCGCGCCAGTAGCCGCCACCCGGCACTCGCATCCGTCCGTCGCACGGAGTCCTTCTAGAAACCATCTAGACACCCACACACCAGCTTGACCTAGCGGGCCACGTTAGTAATTCATTCCATGACGAAGGAAGGCCGTGGTAATTCCGACGGTGCGAGGTTTCGGTCGCCGACTAGCCTCCAAGACCCCGAGAACGATGACACTCGCACTCGCTGCCCTCAGCGCAGAAATCATACGATATCCCACATCGTGAAACGCCTTGTCGACTCTACATCATCATGTTCGCGGGTACGCAAGCCTCGCCATGCAGTCGCACAAGCCATGAACCGGGTAAAGTTCCCATGTGCTATCCCTGGGGCGCATTCTCGTCGCCGACGACCCACGCGCCTACCACGCGCGAGCCATGCTTAGTACACACGCTAGTCAATTTAGGGGTGTATGCGTATCTGCTGCCGGGGCGCCACCAGTCCGCCTCCACGATATATCCATCGTCGGGATGATTGCATTCTCGGCTAAGTCCTCGTTTGCAGCGTGAGGTCGGCGACTAGGGAAAATGTCTACACGGCGATTGGCACATGGGCCCGTTAGCGAGGGAAGATCTGGTCTAGTGACCTAGTCCTTCATAATGAGGTGGTGGTCTACAAACGGCTTGTTTGTCCTTCGCTGGCAGGGGTATTCTTTCATTTTGCTGCTTTCGTTCTGCTGATGCACCTTACGGGACGAGTCCTTCGCTAGAGTGGGATGCTTTAAGGGACGGGACCCGACGAAACGACAATACCGGTATCAAGAGGATGTTTACACCCGTTGAGACTTCCATCGGCGCCTTTCTGCTACACCAAGCGACTAGCAACCTCCTCTATCAGAATGGCGATATCCTGGGACTCAGCGGCTACCTGCGTCGACTCTTCTCTGCGCCTACGAAGGAACTGCTCGCTTTCTTCACGGGCATGGCTGCCAGCTATGTTCCGTTGAAGGCATTAGCACCGCAGTTGATCACGGAGTATCCTGCTGTACAGACCAGTCCACAGAGTGCTCTGTTTACGCTAGCGATTGGTGCTCTGATAGGATGGGGGACGAAGGTAAGAGACCTTTGATACTAGACTCTTTCACCACTAACGCGAACGGCCAGATGTCGAATGGATGTACATCTGGACACATGCTGTGTGGACTCCCCAGACTGAGTGGACGCTCAGCAATCGCTGTTGCTACGTTCTTTCCCGCGGCCATCATAACACATCACCTCGTCAACCCAAACCTATCGAGTCCGATGTGCCCCGGTAGTGCACCATGCTACACACCTGTGTATCCGTCAACCGAGACAACCGCATCTCTTCTCATACTCGCCATATTCAGTATCTTCGCCGCGCGAACCATACCCAAACTCGTAGCCCAGGTCACGGTCGCACCCGCAACCAAGGACGCCAAACATCAGCCCACAGATACACATACAGCTGCACGCCTTACGACGCAGTCCTTCTCGGGTCTTCTTTTCGCCCTCGGTCTTCACATCTCGCAGATGTCACATCCTGAAAAGGTGGCCGCTTTCTTCTCTTTCCCAGATCTACAACACTGGGACCCGTCACTCGCTCTGGTCATACTCTTCGGCGTCCTACCCAACTTGATTGAGAACCAGATAAAAGGCTTCACCAGCCCGCCATCTTTCGCCGACAAGTTCTCCCTACCTACAAAGACGTTGCAAGATGTGGATAGAAGATTCGTCGTCGGAGCTGCTGCTTTTGGTGTTGGCTGGGGTTTGACGGGAATTTGTCCTGGTCCGGCGGTGCTTCGAGCTTTCTTTCAGCCGGTTTGGGGAGCGTTGTGGGTTGGTGGATTTTGGTTGGGAGGTAAACTGAACATTTGATCTGGTTCCAAGCTTATTTCTTTACTTCGAATGGGTGGGTCTTTGCGTTACACGATACCCTGTATGTATTCCTGCGCATCATTTGCCACAAGGGCTGGACGACGACTGTGGAAGAAGTTAATAGTCAGATTATGGAATGTCAGTCTAATGAATGATAAAACGACATATGCCAGAGTTTTCGAGTTTCGGTTGGGAGAAGCCTTCGTATATGTCGCTGTTTTTCATAGAAATTGCGAAGCGATAATCGAAAGCCCTTCTCGCCGCCCCAGGGAAAGGTAGGCGCGTGTGTATATGGATCTGTATGACAAACTGCTCAGTTGGCGAAAGAGGAAAGAACAACCCGTGAGCCGAGATCATTGGGAGACGTTACACGATAGGGGCGCACTTTCCAGTGTTGCAAGCTCTGGGAAATGCCCGGATCTCGGTCGCCTTCTTTCGTTTCACTCCATGCGCAGTGAAGGTGAAGGCGGGAGCTACGCACAAAAAAAAGCTCAATCCCGCTTGAGTAGTACGCCTCTGTTTCCAGCACCACCCGGGTGTTTCTCTCTCTCACCTTACACTCATCAGCAACGAACTTGAAAAGTATGCGGATCGGCCAATTCGTCAGGCTTGCTGCCTTCTTCGCTGCCGTTGCAGGCGAGATCTGTCCGGAGTAGGTATAACCCAAGCATTCCGATTTCCGTCTCGGCGGCTTTGATAGTGCTTGTACCAGCGTCTTGCTTGACTAAATGTCTCGCAGCTGACTTGACATCTAGCTGCTCGAACGATGTGCGTCTATCCACTAATGTCACGATTCTCGAGGCGCCATACAAGAATGTCGCTGCCGCTGGGCCTCCGCCTCCGCCCCCTCGAACTCCTCCGCCCGGACTGCCAGATCGGCCTCCTCCGAATCCACAAAACGAACCTGCGACTGATGAGGTCTGGGATAGGTGCAGGAGAAAGGGATGCACGCTCTCGTGGGCGATGAGCCACGACGACAGCGAAGTCGGACCCCAGTACAACCCAGGACGTACCACGGCAGCATCACCGTACCAGAATCGTAATCAACTCGGAAGATGGTTCTGGCAGTATTTTCAATTTGATCCAAGCGACGAGGCGGATTCTTTTTTCAACTTCTATTTGACATGGGGTATCGGTGAAGCACTCGCAAGTCTCGGACTCAACCCCAACGCAGACAGATTCGAAGGTGGCGAGAACCACGTCGTCTCCTATCAGCACAACTTGCCTGGATTCGATGAGGATATTGATGATCAAACGTACTATGTTGACGGCAAGCAGTACCGGGCCACAGGTGCTGATTTTACCTTCTCACTCAACATCAACGAAGGCGTCATCATAGCAATGAGCCGTACAAGCCCCAAGGAAATAGGCAAGGGAAAGGACCCGCCAATTACCGGTGACGGACTGCCACGCCTTAATCAATTCTCAGACGTGGCGTGGCTGGAGTGGCAACATTTGATGAACCAGAACAATGGCGATGTCAGAAATATGCGTTACTTCGTGTCTGTGTTGGTTGTCAACCGAGAGACTCAGGCAGTGGTGGCGAGAGCATTGCGCACTCGAGGTAAAAATCTAGACGATTTTCCAGGGCAGACGTTCGAACGGGGGACAGACGAAATGAACGCAATCATGGGTAAGTTTTGCGCGTTCCAGTAGTGATGCAGGAGGCTCTTCGATTTACCAACAGCTAGGAAGCGTTGACTAACATGTGACCAGGCACGCCGAACATGCAAGGCTTCGCATATATGCTGGTTCAGCACAAAGCGCAGCTGGGCAACATGTACATCAAGAAGATCCAAGTCTTCAAGTGCGTGACGATGCGCGAGCCTCCTTGTATCATCGCGCATGTATCCAAGCCAGACGTCTGGGTTGACCCCGGGGGCGGCGAATTCGTCAGACGCGACGCAGGCCATAACGTAGCGCGTATGCACAAGATCTTCGCGAAGCTCTGAAGTGTCAGTATTTGCGTGGCGTTGTAGTGGAGGATATAGGGCAGCTAGATCTATGGGTAGCAGTAATGTACGACAGTCATCGCTGTGGTTGGAAATTCGATACTGATTGGCTGGTGATGTGTGTAGCCTTTTTGTTCATGAGCATACATTCTCGCATCAATGGCCGGGAGCGGGTGGGAGTGGAAGTAGAAGGCTGTGGACCCTGAGTGAAGTTCAGCCCTACCAAAAAAGTCTTGAGCCCCGCCACATGATCCCACCCGACCCCGCGACGCGCTCAACCACGACATCGACGCGCAAAATGGAAGACGACAGAGCTGCGACCAACCTGGGGCCCGGTGCCGAGCAGGGCATGCCAGAAGAGGCTGTGCCCGTGCAGAAACAACCGAAGCGACGTTTTGTGGGTAGGAAGACGGCGGAAAAGGCGGGCGAGCAGCAAGCGGATCCCAATGCCAACATTGAGGATTCCAGCGCGATACAAGGTGTGAGGAGCCCATACACAGAAGCTTATTAATAACTCTAGCTAATAGTCATCCAAGTTGCCCAGCCTCGACGTACAGCTCGTGTCTTGAACGCCATCCCCGACGACATCCTCCACGACCAGGAGATCAACGACGCGATCGCTCTTCTGCCTCCAAACTACAGCTTCGAGATCCACAAATGTATACATCGCATACGGACATCTGGCGCCAAGTCGATAGCCCTGCAGTTCCCCGAGGGCCTGCTGCTGTTCGCGACGACTATTTCCGATATCCTGACGCGATTCTGTCCCGGTACTTCGACGCTGATAATGGGTGATGTCACATACGGCGCGTGCTGTATAGACGATTACACTGCAAGAGCGCTAGGATGCGATCTGCTCATACACTACGCGCACAGCTGTCTGATACCGGTGGCAGTGACGAAGATCGCGACACTGTACATCTTCGTCTCCATCAGTATCGATACTCAACATCTGATCAATACCATCACCGAGAACTTCCCCGTGGGAAAGACTATCGCGTTAGTTGGTACCATTCAGTTCAACGCTACAATACACGGCATCGTGCCGATACTACGGAAGGAAGGATACAACCCGTTTGTGCCCCAGATTGCGCCTTTATCCAAGGGCGAAATTCTGGGCTGCACATCACCGTCGATGGCCATCAAGCCGGGCCAACTCAATGCGCGAGGCAAAGAGGAGGAAGTACCGGACATGATACTATATCTTGGCGACGGACGCTTCCACCTCGAGAGTGCTATGATCGCCAATCCACACATACCCGCATACCGCTACGACCCATACTCGCGGAGGCTGACACACGAAACCTATGAACACGATTCACTATATGATCTACGCCGCACTGCCATTCTCACAGCTCGGAAAGCTCGTACATGGGGCGTTATCCTCGGTTCGCTAGGACGACAAGGAAACCCACATACACTGACGCTCATCGAAAACGAGCTGGCACGCCAAGGCATCAAATGCGTAAATCTGCTCATGTCTGAGATCTTCCCTGGTAAACTGGCAATGATGTCCGATGTAGAGGCTTGGGTACAGATTGCGTGTCCTAGATTGAGCATTGACTGGGGCTACGCGTTTCCCAGGCCGTTGCTAAGTCCTTATGAGGCGCTTGTCACGCTTGGAGTAAGAGACGCACCATGGTTGGAGGAAGACGACACAGTGAGGAGAGTCGAGGCCAAGGACAGAAAGAACCTCTATCCTATGGACTTTTACGCAAAAGAGGGCTTGGGACGGACTACGGTAGATCATGTGAAAGCTGCGGAAGTAGCAGTTGGGGCATGAGGAACTACAAAGCGTGCATTGGTTTGGCGTCTTTCTCTGCTAGTTTAAACTGAATGTGCATTGTTGCGTGGCGCGGGTCAAGACTTCAACTCTTCCACGTCTCTACGTCTCGGATGAGTAGTTGGGATGAGCTATGGCTGCCTGCCGCTTGCTCTCCTCTTTCACTGCGACGCCATCAAAGGAGCATCTCCCGCTAGCAAAAACAAAAGCACGGACATTCGCGATATCACCGTTAGGCTCCCATCTTGCCCGATTGCTCTCTACAACACAGTGACCGTTAACCTAGGATCTTCCACTATACTGCGACCTATTGATCCGCAACTAGCTGCTGCTTGACCGGCGCGATCATGTCATCAGAAATATTTCCCCCGTCCATCCTTCAGACCGACATCATTCCGTCCAGCATGACTCTAACTCCGACCTCACCGACTCCTCTGAAGCGGAAGCCATCAGTCAACTCCTCTCCTCGGGAGTCTCCCAAGAGACAGCGACTAGACTCACAAAGACCGTCCACTGAAGAGACCCTACACTCTACAAAGCACTACGCCGTGTACTCTCACAACCTCCTCGAAGAACCGGGTAGCGCCAGACCCCAGCTTCTCAGCGCATCCACCGTCTTCGAGACCACCCAGAAAGCCATGCGTGACCACGCTACCCAAGCGATCGAAGCAAACGTCCAATGGGGAGCAACAAGAGAGCTAAGCACCAATCGTCTCTACGAGATTCTCGATAGTAAGAACCATGTGGTTCTACGCTACGAAATGGACGTTGTCTTCCCCGCAGGCGAAGATGCAGATGGTATGAAGCAGTGGAGCCGCGCGAGCGAGCTGGAAGCTTTGCCAATACAGTACGGTCTGTGTGTTGAGTATCTCAATGACAACTACGACGACAAAAAGGAAACTGAGCGCTCCTTGGTCGTTACTTTTGGTAGTCTAGGCGAAGCCAAACACGCAATGAAGAAGTCGGCGGCGGCGTACATTGGCAGCTCCAGTGGAATCAAGGTGTCTGAGAGGCGGATTGAGATGGTAGGGGAGGAGGGACAAGTTCTTCGACGGTACAAGATCGAAGAGGGCAGGAGGGATGCGCAGGGTAGGTTTGTGAAAGAAGAAGACTTGTATCTTGAGCTGAGCGGTGCAGATTCTGAACTTCCACCCGCGCCCGAGAGATTGGAGTCGTCTGCACCGCCATCTCCTCAGCCGATTGCTGCTCCTGCCATCACTGCAGTCGTACGCCAAGCTACACCAAAAGCCGCATCAAACAGTCCTGCTCCCGCGATCCCCGAACCAGAAGCTGTCCAGGGCACTCGCCGCCAGTCTGCTCGGATTAAAGTCGAGACTCAGGCTGCTAAGGATATGAAAGAAGAACAACTTAAGATCGAGCCCAAGCCCAAGCCTCAGCCCAAGCCAAAGGCTCCAGCTCAACCCAAGCCCCCAGCTAAGCCCAAAACGCCAGCTAAATCCAAAGGCAAAGGCAAAGCTCCAGTCCAAGAACCAGTCGATAGAACCCTTCACTGCACTTGTCGCGGCCATGACGACGGCAGTCTAATGATCGGCTGCGATAACGACGCTTGTCCGATAGGGTGGTATCATGGTCGTTGCATCGGCATCTCCAAGCCTATTCCGAAGAACAAAGAATGGTATTGTGCCATGTGTACGAAAGAGATGGAGGACAACAAGGATGCGGGTGTTGGAGCGGTTATTGTGAAGACGCCTGCGAAGAAGAGAGGTAGCGGTGGTGGCGTAAAGACAAAGGCGAAGGCGAAGGCGAGGAAGAGGAAGTAGGAGTAGGTGGATTGATGTGAAGGTTGGCTGAAGGGACTGTGGAATTATGCACTGATTGGCATAGTCGTCCTGGGGCTTGTTAGTATGTATGATACGATAGTAATTCCAGTATGTAAATATACGGTCTTACCGTTCACGTTCGAACTCCAATGATGTTCTCCTGTTATACCACATTCCAAGCTATGTCTCTTTCATATCTACTTTCGGTCTCTGATACTGCGCCGGTGTCTTGATAACACGATGTAACAAGGCATGTCCAAACCATGAGCTGAAGAAGAAGAAGATGATAACTCCAATGGTGATGTTATCCATTTCCAGATGACGCACTGCGCAAATGTCCGGTCAGGTGGAGAAGATGGCAGATTTCCGCACGTCGTGTTTAGGTTTAGTGCTCAGATATGTGGGAAGCGTCAGCGTGTGTTGTACAGGATGCAGTAACCAATGAAGGAGAGCGTTTTTGTGGCCATGAGGCGGGCGCATATCATCGGGCGGCAGTGACGAATGGCTGTTCGTGTCAGCAAACGCCTTCCGCTCTATAGCCACACGGAGCGTGGTTTGGTCAGCTTATCGGTTTGGCAAAACAGGATCTGCTGGTATATCAAGTAACATTAGCATCGTCGGCTTGTAATCCGTTCAAGTTGAAGCGCGTAATGGGTATCGTATTCGCTATGCAAGACGCCAAACAATGTCAAGTATGTAGTCAACTCTTGCCCGCTACTATATCCAAAGCTGCGCTCAGTCAATCTCCGGCATCAGCTCGTCGTCATCGACGAGATCTGGATCAACCTTGCTTCCTAGGTCGGTATCTTCCAGAAACGTGCGCCCTCGAAGTGCTTCCGGCAAGTACTCTTGTTTCACTTTGCCGTCTAGGTAGTGCGGGTTGTATTTGTATCCCTCTCCATAACCCATATCCTTCATCAACTTGGTTGGCGCGTTGCGTATGTGATGCGGTATAGGCAGTGCAGCAACTCCCGGCTCCTTCAACGCATCGTAAGCGTTGTTCATTCCCCGGTATGCGCGCGTAGATTTCGGTGAGAGGGAGAGGGCGGTAACGGCGTGGGCGAGGTTGATGCGGCATTCTGGCATGCCGATCTTCTCGCAAGCAGAGTATGTGGCCGTCGCAAGAGACAGCATCGAGTTGTCTGCCAGTCCAACGTCTTCGGATGCGACAACGATGAGCCGGCGGGCTATGTATCGCGGGTCCTCGCCAGACTCCAGCATACGTGCTAGGTAGTATAATGCCGCGTCGGGGTCGGAGCCTCGTATTGACTTGTGTAGTGCGGATATGGTATCGTAGTGTTGGTCACCGGCGCGGTCGTATACGAGGGTTTTGGTGAGACTCTGTTGTATCTTCTCTTTGGTCATATCAGGCTGCTTCGCAAGGCTCATGGCGAGTTCGAGAAGATTCAGGGCTGTTCTGGCGTCGCCGTCAGAGAAGCGGGCGAAATATTCCAGCATCGGCTTGTCTAGGATAGGGGATGTGACGTTGTCTGCGGCCATGGCGCGCTCGAGTATTCGTACCAAGTGGTCTTCTTTGAGGTCGTCAAGCGTGAAGGTCCGACATCTTGACAGCAAAGCTGAGATGACCTTGAAGGACGGGTTCTCGGTTGTTGCGGCTATGAGGGTTATGGTGCCTGACTCTACAGGCCCAAGGAAGGCGTCTTGTTGCGTCTTCGAGAAGCGATGTAGCTCGTCGCAGAAAACGATGGTCTTTCGACCTGTCAGCTGCAGGTCTCTAAAGGCCTCTGCGAAGATCTTGCGCACTTCCTCCAACTTTGTGCTTGTGCTGTTGATCTCGACGAAGCGTGAACCGGATGTGTTGGCGATGAGTCTGGCGATGGTGGTTTTGCCTAGAGGATGGGTTAGCCTCAATTGGAGCGCGAAGGATATAGAGAAAGTAGTACCTGTTCCAGGTCTTCCCCAGAGTACCATTGATGGTAGTCTGCCTTCATCGACCATGCCTCGAAGCACGCCGCCGGGTCCCACCAGCTCTTGGCCATATACATCGTCCAATGACATTGGCCTCATGCGCTCGGCCAGTGGCATGGCATCTTCGACAGCCTTGAGCTTCCGCGCCCGTTTCGGGGCAGATGGTGATTGCTGTTCCCCATTGGCTTGTGTATCCGACGCTTCTTCGAGAGGCCGTTTTGTACCTGGTGGGGGTGTCTTTGATATCTCTATCCGCTGTGTCGCTGTTGGCGGTGCTGGCTGTGCGGGTGGTGACGACGTTGGGTGTCCATTCTTCTGTGTCGCGCCCAGAGGTTTGCGTGCGCCCGGCGTAAAGAAGCTATACGCCTTTCCCAGGTTCGGCGTGCCTTGTGGTTCTGGCTCAAGCAGAAATTCCTCGCAGCCGCTGTCGATGTGTTCGTTGATTCGGGCGTCTTTGACGGCTTTAGTGCAGATGGGGCAGTCGACCATGTCGAAGATGAGTGGCTCGGCGCACGCGACGCGAATTATTCTGGGGTAACGCGACGAGCGAGGCCGGCGCTATTTCGGATTTGTCCCCGCTTGATGACGGCAGACGACGGACGGGAGCACGCAATGCTAGACGCTGCAGTTGGTGACTCTTCTGGGTTTACTCATCTCCCAATGCCATTGCCATGCGAAGCATCGTGACTCCGGCTCTCAGATCCATCCGAACCTCCCCAAAGAGACAATCCGCAGCTTCAAGGTGCCCCACCAGCTGTCCCCCTCTCCGAGCCATGTCAGCGACAACACGAAGGGAAGACCCCTTCAAGCCCGCGAAGAGAGTCGCGGGCCAGAAGCAGGATGTCTGGTAGGTCAGCAAGCCTCAAAGTCCTACAAATACTAATAATGGCAGGTCCATCGTCAATGAAGCCGCCGCGGCCTCGCCCGTGCAGCCCATCGTCAACATGGGCCAGGGCTTCTTTGGCTACAACCCTCCCAAGTTCGTCCTCGATGCCGCCAAGGCTGCGCTCGACCAAGTAGACTGCAACCAGTACTCGCCCACCAAAGGCCGCCCGCGGTTAAAGAAGGCCATTGCCGATGCCTACTCGCCCTTCTTCGGTCGCACGATAGATCCCGACAAGGAAGTCACAATCACCACAGGCGCAAATGAGGGTATGCTCAGCGCTTTCATGGGCTTCTTGGAGGAGGGCGACGAGGTCATCGTCTTCGAGCCCTTCTTCGACCAGTACATTAGCAACATCGAGATGCCAGGCGGGAAGGTCGTCTACGTGCCTCTTCACCCTCCCAAAGACGGCGCGACCAAGACAACGTCCGCAGCCGAATGGAGTCTAGACATGAAGGAGCTGGAGGCTGCCATTACACCCAAGACCCGCATGATTGTCATCAACTCTCCGCACAACCCAATTGGCAAGGTCTTTTCCAAGGATGAGCTGCAAGCCATTGGCGACCTCTGCGTCAAGCACAACATCATCATCCTCTCAGACGAGGTCTACGACCGTCTATACTACGTCCCTTTTACTCGTGTCGCCACTCTGTCACCAGAGATCGCCAAGCTCACATTGACAGTTGGTTCAGGAGGAAAGAACTTCTACGCCACCGGTTGGAGAGTAGGCTGGCTGATTGGACCCGAGCATCTGATCAAGTACGTCAGTGCAGCCCACACACGAATCTGCTACAGCAGTGTCTCGCCGCTCCAAGAAGCCACCGCAATTGGGTTTGAGCAAGCTGATGCCCACAACTTCTGGGACGAGTCGAAGAAAGAGATGAAGGCCAAGATCGACAAGTTCACCGCTGTCTTCAATGAGCTTGGGCTACCCTACTCGGATCCCGAAGGCGGATACTTCGTCTTGGTGAACATGTCCAAGGTCAAGTTGCCAAGTGACTACGAGTTCCCGCCTCACGTTGCGGAGAGACCAAGAGACTTCCAGCTCAGTTGGTTCCTGATCAAGGAAGTTGGTGTAGCGGCTATCCCTCCAACTGAATTCTTCACGCCAGGAAACGCGCACATCGTGGAAGATTGGCTACGGTTCGCCGTGTGCAAGAACGATGACGTACTGGAGCAGGCAATGGAGAGGCTGAGGAGTCTTAAGAAGTATATTCAGGAATGAAACCACCACATCGAATATCAGAAATGACAAAACAAGTATTTTCACATTCCCGTGACATTCCTCTCGTGATACGTCCCTCAAGATCGTTTGCAGAACCGTCCAGGTCTTTGTTGATCGTGTCTGTCGCCAGTTCATACCACACCGCCGCACGCGCCTTTCAGTATCCGCCCCACGATTACGTTGCTCAAAGTACTCCTCACAAAAGCGACTTGTGTGGCGTAAATATCAGGAATTAGCTCTGATACCAAGTTGACTCACGCCCCACTCGCCCGTCTGCCAGTCACTCTCTGATTACTTCCCTTCACTTCCACGGATCCACTCAACCGCTCATTCAGTCACGACCCCCACCACTGGCCTACTTAGTCACCTATCTACTTCAACCATGTCGCGCCCACGCATCTCAAACGGCGCACCACTACCAACATGCACACCACAAGCCTGCTGTTCGCCCTCTGGTTACCCATCCTCGCTGTCGCTCTATCACAAAGCGGAAGCCCGGCGACAACACTCACAACAAGACCATCGCCTGCAGTCCCGCGGTCTATTTCACCGGTCTTACAAAGCATCTACGATGTCCTAGACATCTTGTCGCCCGGTCAACCTCATCCCACGCCACCACCCAAGTCCACGTCTACGCCTACGTCCACCACCGAGTCAGGTAGTACATTCATTATTACAACCACACCGGGCGTAGGATTGGTGGTGACAGTTATTTCACTCACGACATTACGGAGTACGATGACCCCGCCGCGGTCGCTTCTTTCCACTACGACTTCATGGACAACACTAAGCCAGGTTGCGGGACGTAGGCGGCAGCAGGAGGAGACGGGCGAGGCGGCTTTTGCTCCTGTCAACACACGTCTACCCGCAGCGGAGAGGGACTCGGAGCGAGAAGGAGAGGTCGGGGGAATGCATTGAGGAGACTTCACTCTGTCCCGCGTATGTAGGGGAGGTGAATGACCA